ACGGAGGTCGTGGTGGGCGAACATACAAAGTGGACAATGGATCTCATACCGTTAGATTAACAAACATGGAGGGCAATAGAAGTGAAAATGAGTTCATTTCAGTGGCTGCAGGAATTCATCGATTCAAGACCGAAAGAGCAGAGAAAAAACGAGGAAGTGGCACCGATTGCAGATAAACTTAAAGACATTTGAACACTTTGTGGTAGCAGGTGCGCGACCTGGTTCCATGACGACAGACTGACGAAAATTAGAAGGCCCCATTATCCAGGCATGCGGAAAGCAAACAGCAACAGGGAAGTTGGATTAAAGGTGACTGTGGTATCCCGTTCAGATAGATATAGCGGCATATTTTGTCACAGTTAATGTACAGAATTTAATAGTAGAGAATACTTTTATCCGAAATACCCTTAATCTGTCTCTACATGGAACAATCGGCCTCATCCAACAACATCTTAATCCATCACTGACGGCAAGTGAAATTATTTGATTGAAAAAGCTGCAGTCATCAATATAGGGGTATGAAGAATACATTACAAAGCAGGTTTAACATTTTCCGAAAACGGTTGTCCTTTGGTTGCCGCTCCAAAGGAGTTGAAAAAAGTCACACGTTGGGCGGATTAAATCTATATTTGGCCTGCTACGGAAATCATATTATAGGGTACCTTGTCATCGATATTATGCTTTTACAAAATTTAATACGGATTATCAATAACCGATGACTATCTTAATATAACCCTACTTAGGTTCTGTGCCACCTCTAAATCTGTTTTGCCTCCACCACTTAAATCTGTCAACGATGACAGATGCATTATCACAGAAAAGATATAGAGCACAATTTCAATAACCCCTTTCGTTTTATGCAATTTTCATAAAGGGAATGATTTTAAGTTTTATCCACTATCTACTGTTACCTGTCCATCCACGATCACCTTGATTCAAAACCGGAGTTGCTCATTGGTAAAGCGTCGACTGACTTTCGAAAGATCGTGAGGCTGAATCCTTGCCGGAGCAGATAAAAGATATATATATATCTTTGGTAAGAGGGTGTCCAGATCTGTCCTTGAAGACTATCTATGAGACTGCCCGTCTTTTCACCTCGGAGCCGGCAGATGGTCTGCCGGAATACTTTGTTTGCCGTATGGAAATTCGACTCCAACACCTCACCGAATTTCTCCCAGGAATCAGTCTTGGCTTTTGCCACTGCTATGG